GTGCGTGCTGTCCTCCATCTTAGTCGACGCTATACGCATCTGTGTCAATATAGACTCTAAATAGACATGCCTCGTGTCATTTTTACGTCACAATATAGTGATGCTTGTGTATATAAAAGGAGTTCCTGCTTGGCTACCCGCTGCTGCATACGTCTTGTTGGCCAGCCCTTCAGCGCCGTGCCCTGTGTTCTTCTTGCGACGCGTCCACTGCACGATACTACACTTGTTACTTTTATAGATATCCTTTAGAAAATTAGTCATTCCATCTTCCACATCTAGTGTGCCCAGTATTCCCCACAAGTATTTTTGGATCACACTATTGTAAGCTCCCTTGATATCTAGAAATGCCGGCCACTGGGGCATGTGTTCGTTTTCCGCTATTTCAATACACTGCATCAAGGCAAACAGATTGCCCTCAAGTCTTCTTCGTTTACGGAACCTATTGTGTATTTCCCCCGGCGCCCCCTTATTCTCCACTCATGTCTGTAGCCTTTCCTTTACTACGTATCTGCATCACCAGCCTGTAAACTACTCATGTCACACGGCTATAGGACGGTAGTTGTTTATATCAGCGTTGTTCTTTTTTCTTTTAGAGATCATGCTCATCGTGCTTAGTTACCACTCCTTGGGGGCTTCACCATACATTATTGCCTTTCTCGCTGCCTCTCTTAAAGTTTGCTCAAAATTTGGTCCTATTTTCTTTATTATCAGAATTGGGATGCCGTCCTCTTCGCGGACACACCGCCTCTGGCGGCGGCGCGTGCATCTGTGGGGTGATAGGCCTGATGGCACGGCCGGTCTAGAGGCGCTCCCTTTTCCCCTCCTTTTACAGCCTAAGCAGCCACCACGAGTTCAATGGAACTATTTCTACACAGTGTCGATGGCGCGCTCCCTGTGAGGGCATCGTGAGCCAACCGCTCAAAGCACGTTTCCCGCATACTCATTGCATTGTAAATCAGCTGTGCCCGGCCACAGTCTTGTACTAATTACTTCTTCCACTATAGAAAGCGGTGAGAGTATAGTATAGGTGCGAGTGTGGAGTCTAGCTTTCTCAGCACTCATGCATTAAGCAGTGAGTACACACACGCAACGCTACAAAAGCCCCGTTTCTTAAGGCTCGAAAACCTTATATTCCATGAATTCGATGTTTGAAACTAGTGTGCTTAGATTTATCATTCAAGTGCACGTTAAAAACACCGGACGGTTGAAATTTCTGAAGCCTACTACTACCGGTGTCCTGCATAATCATATTGTAATTTTGGGATGATAAACAACTTAATCGTGTGGTTGTCAAACTCTTTCCTGGAACCATCATATGTTTTGATAAGGCATAATGATAAGATTACTGGACACACTGTAGCTGCTGAACGCATCGGCACGGCTGTTTCTTTTAATACCACGGTTTTAATACCAGGACGGGAAAGCTACTTACGTTTTTCGTATCCCCCATGGGTGTAGCTGGGGGCGCAAAGGAATACCAGAGCGTGGGTACCTAAACCACTCGCGGTTCCCGACACTAAATCTCTGTACTGTCTAAATAGCCCTGTTTATGTGACTTACTTCGACTTCGTATCAAGTCAACACTCTATAAACTAGCTAAGGCATCTTCATATCATCCTCTCCGAGCGTCACAACACTACATCGGAGCTGCTTTGCTGGCACTTTCTGAAAAATGGAGACAGCATGAACGAATGGATTTGCAACGCGCGGTATGTACACCAATGGTTGTGCGGTAATGTTTTTTTCTGAAAACGTGTCCTCAGCACCCGTTATAGTGCGATGACGTCACGTAGGAGTATACAGGCCTTAGATAGTCCATTTATCAACTTTGCGTTGCTTACTCATGAAGCTTGGGATCACTGACCGGTCATTTGAATATATGTATACATGTTGCAATAAGTTTACAATGCATGTTTTTTTTTTCGCGTTCTTGCTTGCATGCTTTTACAGAGTGACTTTCATGAGTGCTTGAGTTCTGGTGCAGTGTTCGCACAACGTGCTCATGCATAGTGCACTGTTGTGTGCAGTTTAAGAAGTCGCGGGCTGGAAAGACTGCCGACGTTTCACATTACCAATTTCCTGCTAATAAAAAACTATATGTGTTAAGTGGCAGAAAAACATTTCCTGGGAAAATCTCGTGATTAATGACAAGTATTACCGTCGTTTGCAGCAAGCATTTTCTTGTGATTTATTATGTCAGCGGACGCAAAATAAAAAAAAAATCACAGAATATTCACGAGTGAATAATCAGCGAGGTGAAACGTCTGTGCTTTTTTCCATCCTTTCATCCTTGTTTTTATCAGTCCGCCCATCTGTGCCTCTGTCCATGTGTCTATCCATGCGTCCGTCCGTCTGTCCATTCATGCTTCCTTCCGTCCGTGCTTCTGGCGCCCCTTCCATATTTCTGTCTGTCCATCCATCTGCCTGTCTGTCCATGTTTCCGTCTATTCGTGCGTCCGTTCGTGCTTGCAGCCGTGCTTCTGTCCATCCTTCTGTATGTCTGTCCGTCTGTCGATCCGCCCGTCTGTCTGTCACTCACACTAGCGCCACCTTCTGAGTGAGTTATACCACTAGGTGGTTACGAACCGGTCACAAAAGACATGCATGGACAGACCGATAACTCTGGGAGCTTCAACCCTAAAAAACTTACTCGTTGTGCAGTGCGAATGGTATTTTAAGGATACCCGTCATACCTTGTGGCCATTGCAAAGAAACTACGCAAAGAATAAACAGCTCGAAACTCTTCTTTTTCAAGCGAGCCAGACAAACGAATGGCAGAGCCAGAAGATCCCGAGCGTGCCGTTTCGGAGTCGTTGGAAGAAGAAGCCGAACAGAAGTTCACTAAACGCACGCAAACAAATAATTCACAGCTAGTCATTCAACACATTTCACAAATATTATCTAAAAATAGGTTTTTGTCTTTTCTTCTGCGGGTTGGTAAAAGATCATGAGTCCGAGACTTCTGAATGTGACGCATACGGGTGCATGTCAGTAATATGGAATATTCATCATTTCACTGATGTCTTGAAGTTACAAAAAAAAAATGATTTTCCATGACTGCGTTCATGCTCTCCCGAAACCAGAGTTGTCATATATAGCTGCTACCATGTCTCCACAGCATTAGTACCATCAAGAAGTGCAACAGCAAGTAGGAACCTGAGCATTCCTTGCGCGTGCTAGCCTTCGCAACTGCCGGCGACCAGTTGGTTTGGAGCGCCCCCTTAAAGAGATATGTAGAAACAGCCCCCTGTGCACACGGCCAGGCTAGACTCGCAACTTACGGCCTTCGCATCGAGTGTACGTGCCTCTCATCGCTGCTTTGAGGGGAGCGCTGCGACCTTGACCCTCCACTTCATTCTCGCATCGAGGAACGCTAGGCCCATGCAGTTTCCTAAATATACACTAGAGGGAACTCTGGCGCTACTGTCTACGAGAGCTGTAACGCATAGCGCTTCAGCGAGCGTGGGAATTATAGATATGACATGAATTTACCTGGTCTTCGTACCTTACGTTCGTTCTGGCTTCGCGTGGCTTGGCCTAGGACCCATCGTCCAGCAAGTCAGATGAGGCGCTAGTAAGCACGACAACAATTTATTTACATGGTTAGTAACTGAGAATTTGAAAAGAGGTGATCAAGATCACCTCTTTCAAATTCGCCGCTTCGCCGATGACATTGCATTGCTGAGTAACTCGGGGGACGAATTGCAACTCATGATTACGGAGTTAGACAAGGAGAGCAGAAAGGTGGGTCTTAAAATTAATCTGCAGAAAACGAAAGTAATGTACAACAACCTCGGCAAGGAGCAGCGCTTCGAGATAGGTAATAGTGCACTTGAAGTTGTAAAAGACTATGTCTACTTAGGGCAGGTAATAACCGCAGAGCCGAACCACGAGATTGAAGTAACTAGAAGAATAAGAATGGGGTGGAGCACATTCGGCAAGCACTCTCAAATTATGACAGGTAGATTGCCACTATCCCTCAAGAGGAAGGTATATAACAGCTGTATCTTGCCGGTACTTAGCTACGGAGCATAAACCTGGAGACTTACAAAGAGGGTTCAGCTTAAATTGAGGACGACGCAGCGAGCAATGGAAAGAAAAATGGTAGGTGTAACCTTAAGAGACAAGAAGAGAGCAGAGTGGATTAGGGGACAAACGAGGGTTAAGGATATCATAGTTGAAGTAAAGAAGAAGAAATTGACATGGGCCGGGCATGTAGCGCGTAGACAGGATAACCGCTGGCCAATAAGGGTAAAAAACTAGATTCGCAGAGAAGGGAAGCGGGTTAGGGGGAGACAGAAGGTTAGGTGGGCATATGAGATTAAGAAGTTTGCGGGTATAAATTGGCAGCAGCAAGCACAGGACCGGGTTAACTGGCGGAACATGAGAGAGGCCTTTGTCCTGCAGTGGACGTAGTCAGGCTGATGATGATGATGATGATGATCAAGATCAACAAGAAGTCAAGAATTGAACAGGATAACTCAAAGTGTACAAATGGTCTTCCGCCTACATAGCACGTTGCCAACCCTGGGTGCATTGTCCGCGGCTTCAGCCAATACGGCACTCGATGGTCTAGGTGCTCCACCCACCAAGGCGATGCCCAGATATGGTCACGAGCGCACCGCACCAACGTTTTGCACACGTCACCAAGATTTCGCGCACGTCCGATAATCTTGGATGACCTTGCTTTCCAAGAACTCTTCTGGCAGTTGGGCCAGGTTCGAAAACCGGCTCCCGGTACACGTGCCAAATCTGCCTGACTGCGTTCGGGTAGCACAATGTAGTGGCCTGACAGCTTCTCGTGAAAACATGCCACTCTGTTTAACAATTTCTATGGAGAGAGGGGAAGGGAGGAGTGGTCGACTAATCCCTCGTCGTCGAGGCGCTGAGGGGTGCGCTCCCGCAAGGGCTGCAGAAGATAGTGCGTTTTTCCTTTCAACTACACATTCGATCCCTCGTCGTTGCTAGAAGTTACGGCTTAACTGTATTTTTTCGGGACTTCACTCCTCCTCGCCAGGTGCAGCTACAACCGGTTTGGGTTTTAGCTTTCAGCCCAAACACCACGCTTGTTCCGGATTTCTCCAGATCCACCGTGACCTCGAAAGTGGCCCAGCTGCCTCCTTGTTTTCCTGGAAGACCTTGAATGGAGTCGAGTTCACAATGGCCTTTTTTTGCTCGTGCGTTTTCTTTGTGCGAACCGGTCCTGAAACCCCTTGTCCACGTTTTGCTGAGAAAAAATCAACCCGTCTTGACGGCACAGTCTTGCTTGGATTGCGTCGAAATATTTTCGTCCAGTTCACAAAGGCTGCAAGACTTCAATAATGATGATGGTCATAACAGTGGCGACAATTTCACCCAGTTTTTGGGGTTCTCTCAAACCCAAACTGATCGATAATGAGGGGCCTGTATTTAATTACCTGTAGCGTGCTGCATCAAACGATGAGTCGTGTCATGACTAACTGGCCCCCAGAAACACATTGCCGCTGAAAAAGACGAGAACCCCGTGTACATGGACGCGACGGGGGCGGGCTGAGTTGAGTGGCGGGTTCAGCTTACCTCGACGCGCCCGAGTTTATATGAACTCGCACGGACGAGTTGAGGTGATCGCAGCGACGCTTTGCGTCGAGGCGAGCCGAAAGCCCGTCTTCCGGTACCGGTTTCCGCTCCTCCAAGCCTGCGCTCTCGCCGCTGTGGGCTGCGGTTGTTTACGCAGTTGTCGCTCCGCCACCGCGATGGCTGTCTTGGTATTTTGAAAAATCAGAAGAAAGGGCAAACGCGTAAACCTGGAGGTGAAATACTGGGCTGAACTCAGTGGCAGTAGGCGACAAGTGGGTAGATGTTTAGGGGTTTTTATTTTGTTAACCACACGCAACTGCACACATACATTGCACACACAAAGAAAAGTTGGCCTATTGCCTCAGAGCGCGACTGTGCCCTGGCAGGTAGGACATGAACGGTGGCATTTGGGCAGGAGGAGGGGTGTGCATGCCTTGAAGACCGCTTAGAAGGTTGGCCTGATGGGCAAGAAACTGTCCCATAAGGGCTTGTGTTCCCGGCAAGAAGGAGTTTGTGACTCCTGCCAGGAGCTCCTTCATATTTTCATGCTCTCTTTGGAGAAGCTGATTTTCCATTTCGAAGCGAATGGTATTTTGCTTCTCTTGCTGCTCAATGTTCTTTTCATACATCTTATCCAACACCTTTTCAAACGTGGTTGTCTTGCGGCGCTTTGGGGGGGGGGGGGGGGGGGGGGTTGCATCAGGGGTCAGGTTTCCACGTTGTGTTCCTGATGTGCTTGGTTCTCCTTGCGATGGCGTACATGTTGCAGCTGAAAATAGAATTCCCATGAGAGAGCCTTTTTCACGTTTATCACAGCCTCTCCATTTCAGGGGGGGGATGTAATTGACCTTGATGTTTTATGTATGCTCCTTTTTATGACATGTGTAGGAATACGTGGTCTGTCTGCATGTTGGCTATAAGGCGAGTATGTGAAAAAGGCTTAACCTTTTCAATTTGCAAGTGCTACAAGTGTTATTTAATACTTTGTATTTTCCCACATATATTATCGTCTGAGGCTTTACTGTGTATGGAGGGAGTCTAAGAATCGAGAAAAGTAATTAATATCTCTAAGAATTCTTGTACATAGAAAAACTGAGGAACTGTGGAGTAAGTCTTTTAAAAAGTGACTCGTGCCTTAGGGAAAACATGAGCCGCATATGTCTTGGAACACCTGACCACACTTGTTTTGCTGGCAATTTTGTTCCAAGAGTGGACATGACCTACTGCGAACTCATGTATATGCAGTAAATAAAGCTTGCACGCATGTTCTCTCCATCGTTTTTTTTTCAGTCATATTGAACACTGAAGTAGGAAACATGACTGCTGTGGCATTACAGCGCAGAAAAAAAGAACTTACAGGTTTCTAGGTCGTCGGACGCATCTCCTTCCTCTTCGCTGCCATCTGCAATTATAAGTATTGGATTAGTGCATTTGCCATAGGTCTTCATTGTAATCAGGGACGGGAATATTGACAGTACAACCATGTGCATGGTCCATTCATGATCTACATTTATCCTGAGTAGCATTCCTTGCCGAGTACCCCAGCACCTTAGACTGTGGAATGCCCTGCCTTCAAACAAAAATGCGTGACGGGCGGAGTAACACATTTATTTGTTATAACCGCAATGGAGATAATTGGTCAAGCAGAATATTATAGCCATAAGAGCGCAAATTCCCTTAATTGGTCATATGTCATTATCAATAAAAAACAAGAATAACCAAAATTTAAAAATATCACAAGAACGAAGTTACGAAATAAATACATGGCTCATTCCACGCTAAACGTTCCAGGCAGTACGCTCGACCATCTCTGATAAGAATATGAAAATTCATGGTCGATCGTTTGACTACACTAATCGCTTCCATTTTTGTTTTGAGACCAGTTTTCGAAGGAAATGTTTTCTAACTCTCAGAGCAACTTAAATATCGTGGCAGCGCCCAATAACTAGGTTGTGAAAAAAACTCGTGGGTAGGAAGAACACAGCGTTTTCTTGGCACAACGCGTTCACAGCTACTAGGTTGTCTCAAGATGTTCTTTGAGGGGAAGCAATGCGTTGTTCTTGGCGATATTTAAACATTTTTTACAGCTCTTACAACTTTTTATGAGATAATGCAGCTGCATAATTTGTTTCTATTACTGGCGGTAAGCGCAGGAAAATGGAGCATGAATCAGCAAGCCGGCTTTGGTGCATTTAGGAGGCTGCCGAGGAACCCTCGGTGCAGTGAAGTGCGCTTACGGTCCGCCGTTGACAGCCTTGGGGGCAGCTCAATATAAATAATATTTTCTCGCGTAAAACAAAGATTCGTATTAAACTTACAGAAATAAATATCGTTTCTGCACCCTTTGAAATGATCCAAAGTGTATATTTTTATATGGAGCGCCACACAGACCGATAAGTGCCTGAACATGAGTGTAGCGGCCGGGAATGTCGGCTGCCGGAGGCAGCGAGAAAGGAGACGTGAAGCAGGTTTGGAGTTGCAGGGCAAGACTGTTTATTTCCACTCCGTGCGAGTGACGAGAGCTCCCCTCGACGAGGGAGAGAAGGAGGCACCCCCGCGTTCTTCTACAAGAAAGAGGAAACGGGGGCCACCAAGCGAGCAGACGTAGCATGCCGCCGGTCTAATCCCCGGAGCCGGCCCCGACAACACGTTGTTCCCCGAACACGGAGGAGGAGGAGCTGGCGCCGCGAGTAGGCGCGCTGTCGACGGCCGGCTGCAGACGGGATAGAAAAGAATGCGGTGGTGCTTAGCAGCTTCCGCTACAAAGGCTCCCCCCCCCCCCCCTAGATTGCGGAGCTTTTAAAGAAGGACAGCAGTTACTGGCTGAATAGTGGAAGGTCACAGTCCAATGGTTAGCACTGAAATCGTACGTGAGAGGCTGCTTGAATGGAAACTTCAATATGAGCAGGCTTGGCGCGGTCAACGGCGACGACTTCTCGTTTCCCCCGCACGTCGATTGCGATGGTTTTGTTAGTACGTCCCAAAACTTTGAATGGGCCATCGTACGGCGGAGTAAGGGGCGGCTTCGTTGCGTCGTGTCGCACGAACACATGGGTAGCAGAGTCCATGTCAGGAAAAGTGAAAACTTTCCTGTTGCGGGCGATGCGAGGTGCTGTTGGCCTGAGTTGCGCGAGCCATGCGCGCAGCTTCTCGATGTGATCGGAGGCTGTTGGGGCGGAAGGTGTGTGGTCGGAGAAGAATTCTCCCGGGAGGCGCACTGTTGAGCCGTAGACCATTTCCGCTGCGCTGAAGCCGAGGTCTTCCTTCACCGTTGAGCGTAGGCCAAGAAGAACGAGCGGAAGCTTCTGCACCCAGTGTTGGCGGTCGAGTTTCGCTGCCAGTGCGGCTTTGAGTTGCCGGTGGAAGCGCTCAACCATTCCGTTGCTGGCGGGGTGGTAGGCGGTTGTATGCTGCAGCTTCGTGCCGAGGAGCGTTGAAAGTGCGGAAAAGAGGTTGCTCTGGAATTGCCGTCCCCGGTCAGTTGTTATGCGGGCGGGGCAGCCAAAGCGGGACACCCATGTTTGAATGAAGGCCTGCGCGACGGTCTCAGCTGATATGTCCGCAATTGGTATAGCTTCGGGCCACCGGCTGTACCTGTCGATGCATGTGAGCAGGTACCTAAATCCTTGGCAGGGCGGTAGTGGTCCGACGAGGTCAAGGTGAACGTGGTCAAACCGCGACTCAGGAGTCCGAAATTCCTGTAGTGCAGCCCGATTGTGGCGAGTCACTTTCACTTGCTGACACGTTTCACATGTCCGAGCCCATCGTCGCACGTCCGCGTTGACTCCGGGCCAAACGAAGCGTTGCGTTATCAGCCGCTGGGTGGCACGGACACCTGGGTGGCTGATGGAGTGGAAAGTGTTGAATACCACTCGGCGAAAGTTCAGTGGGACAAAAGGTCATGGTGCTGCCTGGGAGGTATCGCAGGTTATCGTGCTCTGGACGTAGGGAAGTGCAACCTCCGAGAGCACGAGTGAAGATCCCCCTCCCTTCAGTCTTGTCAACTCGGGGTCGTCCCGCTGAGCTGCGGCCATAGCTTCGAAGTCCAGGACTTCTGTGCTGGAAGCATTGACGCGAGACAAGGCGTCAGCTGCTTCGTTTTCGACCCCGGGAACGTGGCGGATGTCTGTAGAAAACTCGGAGATGAATGAGAGCTGACGGATCTCTCGTTCTGAGTAGGAGGAACTGTTGTTTTTGAATACGTAGGTGAGGGGCTTGTGGTCTGTCAAAATGTAGAACTCACGGCCTTCGAGGAAGTAGCGGAAATGCTTAATGGAACAATATATTGCGAGCATCTCCCTTCCAAAAGTGCTGTACCGTGCTTCTGCAGGCTTCAGACGTTTCGAAAAGAAGCCCAGTGGATTCCACTGGGCGCCCTCCTGTTGCTGCAGCACTGCTCCGACCGATGTGGAGGAAGCGTCCACCATGAGGCGTGTAGGAGCTTCAGGCCGTGGATGAATGAGGAGGGTAGCCGCGGCTAGCTCGTCCTTAGCTTTCTGGAAAGCGTTCTGGTGTTCGTCAGACCAACAAAATTCTGGTGCCTTTTGGTCGTCTCGGCGCAGCAGGTCGGTCAATGGCTGGAGCACTCGAGCACAAGACGGAATGAAGCGCCGGTGGAAGTTTAAGAGCCCGAGGAACTCCCTCAGCTTGCGAAAAGATGTTGGAGCTGGAAACTTCTTGACGGATTCCACCCTCGATTCCATTGGCATAATGCCTTCAGCAGTGATGTGGTGGCCGAGGAAGTTGAGCGCCTCTACTCCAAACACGCACTTTTGAGGTTTCAACACCAGACCGTGCTCATCCAAACGCTGAAAGAGCTGGCGGAGGTGCTCTTCGTGCTCCGCAGGCGTTCTGCTGGCCACCAAAATGTCATCCAGGTAGACAAAGATGAAAGGAAGACCCCGGGTGACCTCATCCATGAACCTTTGAAAGGTCTGTGCGGCATTTTTCAAGCCGTAGGGCATGCGGACAAACTCAAACAGGCCGAACGGAGTTGTTATGGCTGTTTTTGGTATGTCCTGCGGTTCGACGGGGATTTGGTGGTATGCCGCTACAAGGTCGATCTTGCTGTATATTTTCGTACCTGCCAGCCGCGCGCTGAAATCGTGAATGTGTGGCAGAGGATACTGGTCCGGCGTTGTCGATGCGTTCAAGGCTCTGTAATCACCACACGGGCGCCAATCGTCGTCCTTAGGCACCATGTGTAGCGGCGATGAATGGTTGCTAGACGAAGGGCGAACAATTCCCAGCTGCAGCATATGCTCGAACTCCCTGCGTGCAGCTTGAAGCCTTTTGCTGGACAGCCGTCGTGGCCGGGCGGTGACTGGCGGCCCGGTGGTGACGATGTGGTGAGTCACGTTATGTTTCACCGGCTGCTCCGTGTTGCGGGGCTTGGCTGGCTGGAAGGCGCAGATGCCAGATGAGCAGATGTTTGACTCCAAACCACGTACTTTGAGGGATGTGTTGTTATCCTTGAGGCAACGGTCACGTACGCTCACATCCAGGTTGAAGTGGCTGAGAAAATCTGCTCCGAGTATGGCGAAATTAACATCCGCCACCACGAAGACCCAGCGAAACAGGCGCCTGAGTCCGACGTCTATTGTCAGCGAACGGAAGCCGTACGTAGCGATGGCAGTGTTGTTCACTGCCTGCAGCGACGATGTGTTCTTGCTACGTCGGCGATCCTCGGGGGTTGCCGGGACAATAGAGATTTCGGCTCCCGTGTCGACTAGCAGGCGCGACTGCTTACGCGGTCGACTACGAAAAACAGGCGGCTGGGTGGAGGGCCGATGTCGTAAGCCGCCGTTAACGACTGGCCGGAGCGTTTCCCGGAAACGAGCAAGGTTGAGTGCAGCGGCTAGCACCCGTGCCGAAACGACGGTGGTACCAGCAAACTCCGTCCTGTGTATCTCGTGCATGGCTTCTCTGGGAAGAGCTTGGGTGTCTTGAAGGGGATCGGTTGCGTCGTTGCTCGTCCTGTTGGGGAGCGCCAGATAGCACAAGTTTCTGCATGGTCTCGGTAAGGTGTTGCAGTTTCTCCTCAAGGCGCGACAGTCGATCTGGTTGCTCATGTGTTCTTGCAGCAGCTATGGGCGCAAAGGTTGGAGTTGAGTATTCCGTGATGCGATCGGCAAGTTGCGCGAGTCGATCAAGGGACGTCTCATTTGAACCCGCGAGAACCACGCGCACCGACTGGGGGAGCCGTTGCAGGAAAAGTTCACGAAGAAGTGGGAGCTGGCCGTCCTGACGCGCGTGCACACCGAGTAGTTGCCGCATACGGTGCAGCAGTTGGGAAGGTCGTTGGTCGCCCAGCTCTTCGCGACACAAGAGCTGCTGCAGTCTGCTTTCTTCAGGCGCCTCGAGGCGGTCCAGCACCGTCTTTTTGAGGGTGTCATATTCTTCTTGCGCGGGGGGTGAAACCAAAATGTCGTCGATAGCGTCGGCGATTTCGGGGGGCAGGGCTGCGACGACGTGAAGGTATTTTGTCGACTGCGAGGTGATGTGCCGGAGTTGAAAACGGGCCTCCACTTGGCTGAACCAAACTCTTGGATTTTTCGGCCAAAAATTTGGTAGCTTCAGTTCTGTGGCGATGACCGCAGGCGTGGAGGCAGCAGCGTTGTCGCCGGAGCTCATCGCGGCGTGTTCGTTGAAGCGTTCGGGTCACCAATTTTGTAGCGGCCGGGAATGTCGGCTGCCGGAGGCAGCGAGAAAGGAGACGTGAAGCAGGTTTGGAGTTGCAGGGCAAGACTGTTTATTTCCACTCCGTGCGAGTGACGAGAGCTCCCCTCGACGAGGGAGAGAAGGAGGCACCCCCACGTTCTTCTACAAGAAAGAGGAAACGGGGGCCACCAAGCGAGCAGACGTAGCATGCCGCCGGTCTAATCCCCGGAGCCGGCCCCGACAACACGTTGTTCCCCGAACACGGAGGAGGAGGAGCTGGCGCCGCGAGTAGGCGCGCTGTCGACGGCCGGCTGCAGACGGGATAGAAAAGAATGCGGTGGTGCTTAGCAGCTTCCGCTACATGAGCAATATTGCAAATTTTTCAAAGTTCATGTGCCAGCGCTTCCAAACTACTGTCTTCACGACTCGTGCTTTCCCCCACTTACCGTCAACAATGCAAGCAAGCTATGCAGCTGCGTTGTCTCTGGAAAAATTGAAAAGCTGTAAAAATTTCTGACTTTGGTCAAGAACACTGCATTGCTTCCCCGCAAAGCACATTAACATACACTAGTGGTGAATGCGTTTTAACAAAGAAATGCGGTTCTTTTCCTACCGACTGGAATCGTTTTACCATGCTGCGTATAATATTTCCCTTCTTCGAAGTTTCTTCGCAACCTAACTGCCACCATATTTAAGAAATTAAAATTTTCTTTAGAAAATTGGTTCCAAAAATGAATAGTGTAGTAAAGTGACCAACCATTACTTTTTATAGTGTAATCTTAGATGGTCTAGCGTACTGTCTGGTATATTTGGCGTGGAACGACCCTCATCTCCTCCAAAACCCGAACACTAAACCCGAAAAAACGTTCGAAATGCCTAAGTCCATTCAGGGATTCATGAAACACGAATTAAAAAGAGCGAAACCAACTCTGGACTACGCTTTTACTCTGGTGGAAATTACATGTATTGGTTAAAGGCACTTAATTTTTGTGATAAAGTCAATTTACACCACTTGCAAAAAAACCCAAAACAAAACTTACAAAGAATAAAATACCCGAAAGTATTTGCCTTTTCATAGTCGAACCTGGCTGTGTAGAATGCAAAATAAATGCAAGCGGCGTTGGAATGCTGTGCATTAGTAGACAATTCTGTGAATTTACGCAAGTGTATTCTGATGGCGAGGTGACGAGAAACTTTATTAAAGTGTTCATGAGCGCGTATTTGAGATTTCTGGTGCACAAGCAGATTTCCTGCTACGGGCAGAGCAAAAGAGCCGGTCGTGAGAACGATAACCAACAAACTCTCGTAGGACGTGCCAAGCAAGATTTAAACGTAAAAGTGATCTGCATTTACCGCATAACAGAACGATGTCCTCGTCTTCGGCGGCGGTGTCAACGCCGTAATCTCTTGCTTGCACCATCGGGCGGTCGCCAAGCAGAAGGCTCAATTTGTCAAACCACTTCCCCTTTGACGGCTCCCCGCCACTTTTGCATAGTAGCAGGCGTTCCTGCGAATGCCAAAAAAGTCATTAGAAATTAAAGCGCCTGAAAACTTTTCAAATCAAAGCGAACAGGGAGGTACTTACAGCCATGAAGCGTTTCTTCAATTTCTTCCAACAGGTCCTTATTTGCTCCCACGTCCACGTCAGGCCCTGTTCCTTCAAACATCTTTCCGGGTCCATGAATATGTCCTTATTTTTTTGCCGCTTGCTATTGAGCAAATCACTCAGTTTTTCTCGTTGACTAAGCTAGCAACGTCGTTATTTCATCATCTGTCCACATGGTGCAAGGAGCCCGCGAGGATGTCCTCGTGCCTAGCGCGCGCGTACCGGCCGACAGAGAAAGAGCACGAGTGTTGAAGATTGGGCGAGTTGGTTCGTCGTACTTGAACTGGTATAGCGCATTACGGGGAAGAAGAAACGGCCGAGCAGACCGACATAAGAGGACAGAGCGCTCTGTCCTCTTATGTCGGTCTGCTCGGCCGTTTCTTCTTCCCCGTAATGCGCTATACCAGTTTAAGAGAAAGAGCAACGTCGGAGTGATGGGGAAGCGGAGACCGCGACGGGCGGGAGAGGTCACGAGCCGTCAACTCAGCGCGACCGGTCTGAGCGCGGCGAGTTCGGTGAACCTACCTACCCCTGTCTCCGGGTCGACGGGACTCGCCGCGACGACTCTCCACCCCGACCCTTCCGCTTATACATGGGGAGGGTGAGTCCAGAAAACCTGTTTATTTAGACTCAACGCGCCCTCGTCGGGTCAATGTAAACGGACCTGAGGTCAAAGTTCACAGCGAAAGCTGTTATGAGATTACTTTGCGGGTTACGCGCAGTTGTTGTCTGCCGCCGCCGCCGGCGTCCGTAACCACATCACGCAAGATTAGAAAAAAAAAACCTTGCACCAACGACACAGTTAGGCTGGAACCCAGGTCCACCGGGTGCCAGCCCAATATTCCACCATTGATTTACGCCGGTGCTTGTAACTTGTAGTCAAACTTGCCTTAGACAGATATGATCTAGCACCAATGGCACAGTGGGGCTCAACCCAGGTCCGTCGGGTGCCAGCCCAGTATTATACCACCGAGCTACGCTGGTGCTTGTGACTTGTTGTCAAATTTGCCTCAGGCAGGCTTGATGTCGGGAAAGCAATCGCGTTAATACGACTTATAAAGCGTTTTAAAACAGCCAAAGAACAACCAGTTGTCACACAATGCGAATAGCGTAACGAGTGGGCCGTACAATGCTCCAAACCATCATAAAACCTCGTTCTTGTTCCCCTATTACTGTAAAGCATACGCACTTCAGCCATAATTTCTCATCATCGTCAGCCACTGCATGGACAATTGGCACAAAATTCCTTGCAAGTGTTTAGCGGATACCACACTTCTCAGAAGAATGACGAAAAATAGTATAACGAATGCTGGCCTACAACCCAAAAGTTAGTGATTAATGCCCTAGTGGGTACCAAGCAAATGTGCTTGCAGTGGTTACCCAATGGGTGTTTTGAAAAGGCTCTGAAAGGCCACTCTTCTAGCTTTTCTGTGACTGTGCTGCGCCTATCGCCTGGCGGTTTTGTGCCCCTTTATTAACCCGGAGAAAGGAGCAGCACAAACACTGTCTTCGTGTGCACTGTTCAATAGCTTGCCCATAGATTGAGGCGGAAATGTTGTAGGCCCGTGTACTCAGATTTGGGTGCACGTTAAAGAACCCCAGGTGGTCGAAATTTCCGGAGCCCTCCACTACAGCGTCTCTCGTAATCATATGGTGGTTTTGGGACGTTAAACCCCACAAATCAATCAATCAATCAATAGCTTGCCCATAAAACATGCGAACCTTTCCGGGTTTGCTTTAAACAGTAACCCGTTCCTTATGGTGCAGCAAATTGAGCTGTTTTCATACCTGGGCGGTTTCATCGGTATCTGGATCGGCGTGTCGTTCCTGAACGTGCTGGAGTACGGGACCCAGGCGACCACGTGGCTCTACCACAAGTACAAGGAGCGCAAGACCCGTCGACTTCAGGACGCCGACGAGCTCAAGGTGAAGCCGATCAGCGTGAGGCCAACCAACGGTTTCCCGGCCGACCACTGGTAGTGCTAAAGAATAAAAAGCCATCATTCCACTCAGGCCTACAAACTGTTTTTTCGCAACGTCACTTGAACCTGTAGGAACTGAAATTCTTACATCAGCTCAACGGCATCAGCAGATGTTCACTTTAGCTCGTATCACTCATTGCGTACACTTACAATCAGCTGCGGCGGTCCGCACGAAAGCCAGACCCTTGCAGTCTTTCATCGATACCATGCGAGCGTTGACCCCTCGCCAAATAGAGGCGGGAATTCAATGCGTGGGCACTGTCTTCTGAAATGAATAGGCCCAATGCCTTCTAAAAGAATATTTTCAGGCCTGCCACCGTGATGTCACTAGCTTTGCCCGAGCGAGCGCACGTAACCGCGTGTGAAATTGCGCAAGCTGGGGTGATCAGCGCCTCTCAAGCAGATATTAAACCAGGCGGCTGTCACTTGGAGGGTGTGCGCGGTAGCATCCCACCCCGTGTTAGACCTGCCCAGGGGTGCAACAGCTAAAATAAAGTTTGGAGCGGTTTTTCGGAGCAGAAAAATATTACTTTTGGAGCACTAAAATCTAAATGTGGAGCGGGTTACGGGAAAAAAATTTTCTTATGAAAGATCAAGTTTTGAGCAGTACGAAAAATAAGGCTAACATTTAAAGAAACATATATACAAAACATTCAACCCACCTAAATCATGCATAGTGAACATGAGCACTGCTATGTCAATAAAATAGCATTCTAAATTACTCCACTGAGCAAACAACGGCGCGAAGTCCACATTAACATTTGCCATGCCTGCGGAATCTTTCCACAGACTCTGCGAACTCAAATGTGGTTCTGCCAAGTTGGCACTCTTGAAATTAATGAGATTGATAAAACCAAGGTGTAGGGATGGCAAAAGAAAAATTGGCGCACAAGGTTTTCTTTTTTTTTGGGGGGGGGGGGGAGGCAGAAGTGCCATTTGTTGCTCCAAATGATTGCCAGCCACTCTTTTAGACGCCAACAATCACAGCAGTACTCATAATTATGCGGTGCATACACGCATGAGTAATTTAACAAGTATGCTGCGTTCCATGACTAACACTAATTAACAGCCCCTTCCAAATCACAACACTTTGCCGCGGGACACCACCGTACTGCGGCCAAGGTGGCTTAAGCAGCGTTCTGCGCCGTTAAGAACAAGGTCAAAAAATTTTCGAACCGCTACAACCTCCGCTCCCCCCCCCCCCCCTTACACAGTCTATTTTCCTTGACGAGGGTGTTTGGTTCAGGAACCAGCTTCTTGGCTTATACCCCTGTCACACGGGCACTTAAATGTCTTTTAAGTAAGCGGTCTTTTTCCGAAAAGGAGTTCGTGACAGCAGACACACGGCACAGAGCGAACTCCTTTTCAGAAGCGGTCTTTTTCGTAAGCGGAGTTCGTCGATCTCTTTTACGGCTCCGAATGAGTAGCCTCAAAACCAGTGGGCGCCAGCAATTTTCGAGTGGTGGGAAAAAAAGAGCAATCGCTTATTTTTCTGTCACCAAAACTATTTGTAAAAACAAATTTCATATCCTGCAGAAGGTGTAATGAACTTTTTTAATGGTTATTTCCTTTTCTACTCTCGTAAGCAGCTACAACGCGTCGGCAATATCACGTGGTGACGCTCGGTCTCGAGCCGCGCCATTTTGCACAAGCGAGGAAAGCGTGGCAGTCGTGTGTTTGCCCGTCATTCATGTGGTCCGAGTCCGAGCGTCTATGACCAACTCCGCAGATCAAGCAGCCGGCGCCCCACGGAAAAGGCAGCGTCTGCAATGGTCGGAAGCAGACACGTTATCCTCTCCTTGGCGGCTTTCGCAGCGTCTGCCTCGCTTTCCAGAGCGAGAAGGCAGGCCGTGAGGCTTGCGATCCTCGCTTTTTCTTCCATACGGTCGCCCATAACGTGTGGAGAGCAGTCGAGAGCAGCGAAAAACAAATACGGTAAATAAAAGCCCAGTGGTGCCAGACGGACTTGTGGGTACCAAGCAAGTGTGCTTGCAGTGGTTCCCCTGTGAGTGTTTTGAAAAGGCTCTGAAAGGCCACTCTTCTCGCTTTTCTGTGACTGTGCTGCGCTTATCGCCTGGCGGTTTTGTGCCCCTTTAATAACCCGGAGAAAGGAGCAGCACAAACACTGTCTCCGTGTGCACTGTTCAATAGCTTGCCCATAAAACATGCGAAGCTTTCTGGGTTTGCTTTAAACAGTAACCCGTTCCTTATGGTGCAGCAAATCGAGCTGTTTTCATACCTGGGCGGTTTCATCGGTATCTGGATCGGCGTGTCGTTCCTGAACGTGCTGGAGTACGGGACCCAGGCGACCACGTGGCTCTACCACAAGTACAAGGAGCGCAAGACCCGTCGACTTGAGGACGCCGACGAGCTCAAGGTGAAGCCGATCAGCGTGAGGCCAACCAACGGTTTCCCGGCCGACCACTGGTAGTGCTAAAAAATAAAAAGACTTCATTCCACTCAGGCCTACAAACTGTTTTTTCGCAACGTCACTTGAACCTGTAGGAACTGAAATTCTTACATCAGCTCAACGGCATCAGCAGATGTTCACTTTAGCTCGTATCACTTATTGCGTATACTTACAATCAGCTGCGGCGGTCCGCACGAAAGCCAGACCCTTTCATCGATACCATGCGAGCGTTGACCCCTCGCCAAATAGAGGCGGGAATTCAATGCGTGGGCACCGTCTTCTGAAATGAATAGGCCCAATGCCGTCTAAAAGAATATTTTCAGGCCTGCCACCGTGATGTCACTAGCTTTGCCCGAGCGAGCGCACGTAAGAGGAGCTGTGAATCCATTGCCACCATTGTCTCCCGTTGAACGATAATGCGCGGCGCATCTTACCTGCTTAGCAGCTTTATTCTGCCTCTTGTGTCAAAACAGGTTTAAGTAATGTATTACGCTTGAAAGTGTTTGGACATTTATTTGTGAGCCATTTCTGCCACGAAAAAGAAACAAATATTGTGCGCTATCAAACGTGCGGTCGATCTATGAGTGCAAAATTTGGTGGCCCAAGAAAAGTGAGGAAATAAATTGAATTTTATTCATGCTTTCTTTATTTACACACACACTATCTAGAACATACATAAGAACTCCTCATTTGAAAAATTTCTGCAATTTTATTTGTACTCTTTCGAACATCTGTCTTTATAAACGTAGTGCTGCTGC